AAATTAGGGGATTATGCTCAAACACAGACATATTTTAGTTTCTGGTTTGCTACACAGGATGTTGGGAAACTGTGTCTCCTACAAATTATGTTTATGAATGATGGTTTCCACAACAAACACTAGTTATATTTGAGATTTATAACATTGATATCAGCAAATAACTATTCTCTATATACAGCTACAGAGTCACATGGTGGTCTCTCTCCCTCTGCCTGTGTTGTATCGCAGCCTCTCTGTGGTTTGTTTCCATAGCCGGTCTCCCGACTGAAACTGCTGTTTTTATCATCTACGTCGGTGAATTAAGGATTTATTTCCACCAAATATTGGTGAGTTTTATTTTGTTTCTGTCCAGTTTGAAGTGTGTTTTACAATTATTTGCAAGGTAAAATGACTGGTTCTGTCAGTGGAGGCCAAAGCGGCCATTGTTTTGGTCTGAGATGCTGGTTCTCTAGTGCAACATCTAGTGCCGCCTTTTCTTGCACTGTGTAATTATGTAACTTTTGGCAGTAAAGTAACTGTTAGCTTAGCCCTGCTGAGCTGGATGCTTGGGACTGGGCTCTCAAGCACCGGGGGAGTGTTGGTGTTGGCACTGGAAGCACAGGAGCTTTAGATCTCTCTATAAACATATTTAATGTTGTAAATCGTTAATATATTAAATGTAATTTTTCAGGGTTGCATGGTGTTTCTGCTCACCACGGGTCCTCGGGGTGCGTCTCTGTATTCCTGAGTTTGTTTGTGGAAATTAAAGTTGGCTCCAGACGCTTTGGCCACTTTCTCCAAGATGGTGTCTGGTTCCACGTCGTCCTCTCCCCGAGCATTTACAGTCACATGGGCTCCCTGTCAACACACACACATCAGAGTTAATGATAACAGGAATTTTAGGGGAATATTATTATAATATAACCTATATCAGTAAAATTAGCATCATCCACTGTCCAAAAATGTTTCTTTTACTCCTAATGGATCATGATGTTTGATCAATAAAAATTATAAAATAAAGTTAATATTAATAATATAGTTGTTACAATTATATTACATGCCTGACCTGTATCTGCAGCACTGACCTCTGCCCTGTATCTACAGCAGTTAATCTACTGCATTAACATGCAAAATATTTTCACATTTGAATGATTTCTGTGGCTAAAAGCATGCAGGAGTAGAAGTCAACCGAAAAACTAAAAAAATCTGAATAATAATTGCATGTTAATAATAAGCTAAATAAAGACTGAAGATAACAATTGCAACAATCTTGTGTTATTCTTGATGATCTTTTAACTGTACGTTTATGTTGCAACCATTTTATTCGTCTTTTTAAATTAACTGTCAGATAAACAAAACAAAACAACACAGAGCCTCAGAAACAGACCTGCAGCCAACAAATATTTGTTATGTTTGCAATACATTCACTCGTAGTGTCTGAACAAGTTCTCAACCAGCAGACAAAGAGTGAGATTCTTCTGCTGGATGGATTTTTTATGGATGTAATCAATCACTTTGTCAGAAACACAAACAAGAGTTTGACTTTCACAGTTTATTAATAGAATATCAAAGTCACACTCACCTTCAGGAAGTTGGCCATCGAGCTCACATGGTTGGCATATAAACCTTTTCGAGAGTCCTTCACACCTTCACCTGTCTGTTCATGCACACACACACACGCACACACCTATAAACCCCAGGAAACGATCCAAGGATAACAGTATTTGCATGTTTGTCTTTGTGTTTGTTGTGTGTCTCACCCAGTTTATGAGGACATATTTGGGCAGACCAGAGTTCGGGTCCTGGACGCGACAGAAAGCGTACATCACCTTCCCGCTGCTCAGCTCCTCCACCATCTGCTCTAATCCACCATCTACACACACACATATACACACACAGTGTTTTCTAGTGGTTAATGAAATCACTGACCTTTATTATGCACTAAAAGCACCAACAGAGTCTGTAAAATCTCTCTAATCCACTCTTGATCATAAATATTAAATGATGTCCTTTCAGAGTAATTGGGTGACAATATTATTAGTATATTTACTCAGGTACTGTACTTCCATTGTTACTTTATATATTTATACTCCACCACATTTAAGAGGCAAATAATGTTCTTTTTACTACACTATTTTTATTTCACTGCTTTGGTTTCTGGTTATTTCTGAAGAGATAAACAGGAAAGGGACACAGGTTGAAATCAAAACCCAGGCCTCTGCAGTAAGGATAGGGTAAATAGGGTAAATAGGGCACATGCTCTACCAAGTGAGGTAGCAGGATGCCCCAGGGTAATACATTTTAAAGTTTATGAAATACAACATGTTGTTAAATTAGTTGTTTCTTAAGCTTTTTGTGTTGTAAGCTCTAATAAAAAACAATCCGTGTGTAGTTGTGTGTCCTCGTTTCAGACTCTCTGAGTTGTTACATCAAACAGATATTTCACCTCTAAAGTTTTATTTCATTAACTGTGTGAGGTCTAAAGAGGTCAAATAGTTTTTAATACTTTATAAAAACAAAGAAAAGTAAATAATATAGATAAATATGTGTATCAAAACTTATTAACTTTCTTCTCCCATTAATCATCTGACATCCACTCAGATTGATCTGGTGACCTTTGGAGGGGCCCGAGCGCTAGGTTGGGAAACTGTGGACTAAACTAACAGAGACATTTTACTGCACTAAACTGACAATACTACTTACTAATAACTACTTTTACTGCCCATTTTACTGCACTATATGTGTTTTTACTGCTGATACTACTTTAGAAAATGAGTCAAATATTCTTCTGATCAGGTCTTACCTCCTTTTTCTGCCAGACGAATGTCGTTACTGTTGCCTTCGTAAGTAAACAGAGCCCTGAAAACAATATTGATCCTTTATTTACAGAGTTCAGTCAACAAGGAAGTGACATTTGTAACTTTATCATAGACAATCGATCAGAGACAGCTCACCAGTTTGTATCTGACTTCCCGTCCACCACTTCTTTATAAGCGGCCATAAGTTCCCGACCGTTCTTACTCAGATTCGCTGCCATTATTCCTCTCCAGGTTTCCTCATTCACACAGGCTGCCCGTAATCCAGCACAGATCAAACAGAGCCTCAGGAGATGTGGCTGCCGCTGACAGCTTCCCAGAAAAACACAGACGGGTCAAAACCTGATTGATTAATTCCAGTGTTTTTCAGTAAAACCTCGAAGCTGAATGGCTGCGACTGATTTGTTGTGATTTCCAGAGCAGATTTCTCTGGTGTGTCGAACCAGTCGGGGAAGAAGATCAAAACCTGATGAGCCACATTCTTACAGGAGCTGCTCACCTCTGACTTACACTCCTCCATTCATTAACACCACAATAATGTATCTGAATGAGAAAATATACATTAATTCAGATTATTCCAGGGTGTGTTCTCCTCTATACAGCCCTCACTGAGAGTCAGGGAAAGCCTCAGGGCAATCAGCATATGAAATGGGTGTGTGTGTGTGTGAGTGTGTAGGTGTGTGTGTGTAAGTGTGTGTG